AAAAAAAAAACTTACTCTTTTTCCAGGAGGACCTGGTGGGCCAGCCTCACCAGATGGACCAGGAGGACCCTATAAATAAATATAAATTACATATGAAAGACACTGTTAAAGAAATTGGAAATTATCTTATGGATTATATAATTTCTCAAAACCTATACTTAAATAGATCTTCCTTCCTCATTTCCACAAATCTATTTTTCCTTAAAAAAATCAGCTTAATTTCAGATACCTAAACTTCCTCCAGATATCTACAAACGAGGTTGATAAGGTTCTTATGGTAATCTTCAAAGCTAGAGGAGAGTGAATCAGATTCCCTCTATGTAAAACTCTGTCTTTTTAAAAAATGCTAATTTCTATTTGGCAAATATTCAACCAGTATACTAATTAATAGACTCATGCCATTAATAATTCTACTCATAATCACATAAATTTTTGAAACTATGAAGCTTTTACCTCTAAATTACTTATATAGCATTAGCATTGCTATGCCCAGGTATTCACAATATGCTGAGATTTGATCCAGAAATCTCATCTACACGGCCGAAGCCTGCATCTCTGAGTGCAAATACCTTATGGATATGGTTCTAGAGACAAAATTGTGATAGAACTGCAGTTATCTTCAGGTGCTACTTAACTTAGTACCCACCTTATGTAGTCAAAGCACACACTGCCATTCACAAATTGAAAGATGAAAAACTAAAAAAACAGGTTTATATTATGCTAAGTTCAGTTAAGTTAGCAATTGAACTAATTCATGCTAATGATAAGTTACTAAGTAGACTTTCTTCCTTTCAGTCTTATTTTTTTCAGACATAACTTTCTTAAGTTCATATATGAATCATGATCAGTGAAACTACAAAGCATGTACAACTGCAAGAATGGGATCCTAATTACAATAAGCTATACTTCATGTATATATAATATGTCAAAATACACTCTACTGTCATGTATATCTAAAAACAACAGATATAAAAAAAGATATTTTTATTTAACACAAATGAATGGATAACCGAATCTGACATAGTATGGCAAATCATTAGTATCCTGTGACTGTAGTTTTTATTATGAGGACTTTGATTATATTTTTGATACATCTCAAGAAAAGCACTTCTAAGATTAAACTGGAATTAAAATATTTCTTTTGGAAAAAAGTACACACAACGAGGTGTGCTTTTGAAAGGTGATCATTGCTTTAAAATAACTTGAGTGTGTAAAGATTAAGAAAAAATTTCATGGGCTTTCTTACCGGTTGCCCAGGATCTCCGTCTTCACCCTTGTCACCACCAACACCGTCTTGACCCTATGATCAACAAGAGAAAATGAATCCAAACATTTTTCACTACATTTCATTTTATCAGGGAAAAAAGGTTTAACAGACTATCTTAGAGTGTTCTTGAGATAAATTATCAGAGGGACAAATAAAATTACTATTACTTTCTTTTAGGACTGTGGTGCCTCTTACTCTCTCCATAAAGATAAATGAAACTGCTACTATATGAGATTAAAAATATAGTATGCTTTTGATATAAGGCAAGTAAGAAGAGGCAATTAGTGTGAAAGGCAAGTTCATCCTTACACCAGGAACAGATATGGTGCAGTAGGACGTAAGATTTGCCTTATTAAAAGAGACAGGGAAAAACAACCACCTTGCAACTTTATTAATAGGTCACTTGTATGACCTAGTAAAGCTGACCGATTAATTTAAATGAAGAACATAATCATATATGTAGAAATAATAATCTATAGTAATAACATTGTATTTTCTTGTAGTTGTTTGTTTTCTTTCTTGTTCTGTTTCTGAAAGTCCATTTAAGTAATGAAGAATCTTCTTCCATTCTTCTTACCAGAGAAACACTGGGAACATCCCTACCAAAATCATTCATATTTTTTTTTCCATAATACTTACTGCAGGGCCAGGTTCCCCAGGAGGACCAGGATCTCCAGGAAAACCAACAGGACCCTAAAAGGAGGTTTTTTGAAGAAAAATAAAGAAAGAAAGAATATGAAATTTTGAAATTTAAAAGGGTAAAGTCAAGGCAAAGTCTAGGGAGAATATTTCTTGTGCTGGAAAATTTCTTAAAAGTAAAATTAATTAAGAATGTTTATGAACATATGAAATTAAGAAAAGTCAGCTTCACTAACCAGATTTCTAATATTTCTATAAAAAGTTCAAAAGTGAGTCTGGCATAAATGCCACTTTAAAGGGAATTAAACTCACTCACCGGGTTACCCTTGGGGCCATCGTCACCTGGTGGCCCCTTAGCACCAGGAGGTCCAGCAGCACCAGGTGGACCAGCTTCTCCTTTTTCTCCCCTTTCTCCTTTGGGACCCTACATAACATAAGAAAATAGTTACTTTACAAGTTTTTAAATCAGTTTTTAACCTCAGCATATTAAGCAGACAATTCTTTGCTGGGGGGTTCTGTTTTGAACATGGTAAAAAGTATAACAGAATGCATCTAGTCAACGTTATTAGTTGTAATGCTTTCACTTGGGCAAATATTATCTTTCTCAACTTATATGTGAATGGAAATAGTCTAGGGTATGTCATGGTATTAAGCATTAAGTCTCTGCCTTTCTGATTGCTTTTAATGGGTTGGAAAGGGAAACTAAAAACCTAAATCATTACTGGTAGTTAAGTTACATTTCAAAATGCTTTAAAGAAATTTACAAACCACTAACATCCGATATTGATAATAAGATGACACTTACACCTGAGCCTGCTTCTCCAGGAGGCCCTGGGTTCCCTGCTTCTCCAGGTTCACCCTATGAGGAAAAAATAAATAAATAAATAAGCATTAGAGTAGATAAATGACATCTTGCAGTTGTAAATCTGCCTTCTGTTTTGATCATACATTTGAGAGTAGTCACTCCATTATTTTATTGTTTAAAAAAAGACAAATAAAAACTTGATTAAGAGTAAGAAACTTTTTATATTAATGAATTCAGTATTTTTATTTTTCAGATGAGGAGACAGAACCACATAGGATTGATATTACAATTCTCATGGGTTAATTATAGTCAGCAATCAAGTCAGCTTACCACCAAACAAATATAACTGACATCTGAATGCTTCCTAACAAATCATGTACTTGTATGCACCAATACTTACATTATAATCAATTTTATTGATTAAAAGTTTCAAATTATTTCTTACTGAAATATGAATTCACTTTCGCTTTAACATAACAAATCATCTAATAATTTGAGGCTATATTATGAATCCTATAGGATACGGTTAATAGAGATCAGGAGAACACAGAAAAAAGATTATAATTATAAGGTATAGAAGGCATTTAGATACTAACTAAAACTGCTCCCTTTGAGAATACACTTGTAATAAATTTCATAGCTTTTATGATCTCATTTAGATATGGATGGCTATTTTCTAGCTTAGCAGAATAATAAATAAATTTCTAGACAAGTAGATTTTAGCTATGAAAGCCTGTTGCTAATGCCTCACACAGAGAAATACATAAAAATAAAACAACATGCTAAAGTGATCGTTTAAATAATACAGAACATTCATGCACTGTATTTCCACTCAAAATCATGGTCTACCAACTCTAAAATCAGAGATCTTAGCAATTCTGAAGTGGGCTGTGTACTTCTAAATTGAAAAAGATACATGATGCCTAGTTTCCTTTAATTTTAAACCCTGGTATTTCCAATATTTGTAGCACAAACTCCATGCTTCTCAGTGGTTTCAATGGTAGCAAATTATAGGCACAGAGGAAACTATTTTGTGTACAAAATTCTCACTCTTTGAGTATATACACATATTTTAACTCCTTATGTTATCTGCATAATTGTGGAAGACATCAAGTATTTCAAGAAATTTATCAGTAGTAGTTACTGTGTGTAAATTTTCAACTCTCAAGGTGAATAGCAAGTATTTCCAGAATTTTGGATAAACCTTACAAGTAAAATATTACATTTGTATTATTTATGGAGAAAGAAATTGTTGTGCTATCTCACTCTAATGGATTGATATATAATAGTAATATTTTTAATGAGCGGATTATTCATACCTTTGAATGTAAACAAGTAGTTTGCAATTCAAATCAACTGTAAAATGCTCATGTTAAATATTTTATATATATTGTATACATATAATATTTATTTAGAATATAGAAAATATGTTGATCCTGTACAAAATGTTTTCTTATGTACCATATTAAGCCAGGGCAATAATGCAGAGGTGGCAATTACAGGTCAAATAACTATAGGTTTTTAAATCCCTGTCAACTGTAAAGTTAAACATATTCTATAAAACTTTCTTCCATTTTTTAATAGAGAAAATGATAGGCAGTGAAGAGATGGTTTTAAATAATTTTTACTATTTAAGGATGATCTTTTTAATTATAAAGTCAAATTTAAGAACAATACATTAATATTCATTTGTTCAGAAACACATATGAAAATTACCTTTATTGTGCAAGTATGCACAATATATATAGCAATCCCACAAGATATAATTAATATTTTCTAGAAATACCTCAGTTCCAATTTTTGAAAGTGGGCAGGACAAAATTACAAATGAATAAAATAATGCCAAAGGGAATATATCAACAAGACTACAAAATACTGATTCTAAAGAATAATACTTGATGTAAGTTATATGATAGAGAACTGGTATATGATAAAGTGCTAGCATATGAAAGTGTAATGTCTTATAACCTTTTACCTCAATCTATATAATTCTTGCTTGTTTAAGTGCAGCTTCTTTCAGAAGAAACAATATATTACTCTGTATGTTCAGAGCTATAGACATATTAAATATTAAGAAAATATCCTCTTTTGAGGGAATTATTAAAGTTCAGAAGTTTTTTTATGGTAAATATACATTACATGAACATGTTAAATATGTTTACCCAAAGCACACAATGACTAAAGACACTGCCTTCTTCTATTTTTCATTTTTAATGACTGAAAATAAAGTTTCCAAAATATAAATGGGGATATGTTCAACCAGAATGATAGATGATGTCAGAAATCTATAATATATAGCAGATTCTAAAAATAAAAAAATAAATAAATAAGATTAAAGTGTTTTATTTCTATACTGTTTGGTGTCACATAGAAAATTAAATATAATAAAAGAACAAAATTAGAACTCTCTTTTGTCATGTAACAAATTTCAAATCAGGTACATTTAAAACATAAAAATCAAATCACCAACTAGATTGAATCATTCTCATAAAACTCATAGTTGGTAAGGTGCTACCACAGAGGCTTTAAACAAAATGGAAACAGTGTGGGACTTCCTCCAAACTCCAAACATCAGTGTCTATCTGCAAGAGTTTCACAGAAGAAAAAGCATAAAAGAAGCCAATGAAGAACTTAGAACTATTCCCCTGTATTTGAAATCTTTAGGAAACAAGCTGAAATGGCTAGTAAAACCAAGGACTGAGTCGAACACTACTAGACAGCATTAGAACCAAAAAGTGATAGTGTAACAAAGAAAAGGGTGAAGGCTGATGTCATTGATCTGATACACAAGTATCTACATATCAGCATTGTCTTAAGCTTTTCCTCCTAGGACAACTGACCTCAATGACAAATTCTCTTTCAATCCCACCCTCCAACCACCAGAACAGCTTAAACACTCAACTTTCAATTTCAGAATATAAAAAAGATATACAAATAAACTACACCATTGATGCACTAACACAAACTATTCCAATGAAGTAATTAATGTATTGGAATAATCACATAAATTTTCTAAAGTAAACATCAAAATAACACATTCTGTTATTACATTTTATTTCTGAGCTTCAAATTCTTTTTTCTTTTTTTTTTTAGTTGTAGATGGACATAATACCTTGATTTATTTATCTTTATGTGGTGCTGAGGATCAAAGCCAGTGCTTCACACATGAAAGGCAAATGCTCTACCACTGAGCCACAACCCCAGCACTTTCAAATTCTTTAATTAAAATCAATGAATTTATTTTAATAATTCAGTAAAAGATAAAATGTGTCGAGACTTGAGGTCAAGGAGCAGAATCACTTCTTCCCTTTTGGTACCAGGAATTGAACCCAGGGCACTTAGCCACTGAGCCACATCCTCAGTCATTGTATTTTTTTATTTTAAGACAGGATCTCACTAAAATTGCTTAATGCATTGCTAAGTTTCCAAAGCTGTCTTCAAACTTGTGATCCTCCCGCCTCAGCTTCCTAAGCCATTGTTATTAAAGACAAGCAGAATCACTTTTAAAAGTTTGGGATAAATCTGATATCTTTAAATAATTATCAAATTCAGGAAAAATTTAAATTTTTTACCATATAATATTTTCTGCTATGAAATTCAATTCTTTCCTCAAAACTGGTAAATAAATTATTTTTTAAATCAAGAAAATACCAATGATAATTTTCTTCATAATTCTATTAAGAAGTGAGCATGAATACAAATTTTTAAAAAATCAGCGAATCATTTTGACATTTTCATAAAAGAAGAGAAAATTATTAAAATGAAATCATGTTCATCAGAAAAGGAAGCTATTCCAAACCTGGATGTTTTGGCATATGCTAACTATTTTGAAAAGTGCCAAAGACAGGTCATATTATTAGTAATGAAAATATAACTCAAAACATGACAAAATCAATGACTAATTCTTTTGTGTCATGAATGTTTCTATTTCCCTTTGAAGTCAGTTACATTGAAAAATTTCTTCTATGTTCAGTCCTATGACTATCTAGAGACTGTACTCCCATCAGAAATTCATGGAGTGGAGTGTCATATTTTTAAATGAAAAAACTTTGATTAAATTACCGAAGATTTTTTAATTTCAGCTTTCTAGCTCACAAAGGTGGATAATGATGACACACACCATCATTATGAAGTTGTTGCATTGATTAAAGAAAATAATCCATGTACAGCATTCAGTACAATATCTGGCAATCAAAAACAAGGCGTCTCAAAAGTACTTTAACTTTTAATGTGTTTAAGTACTAGAGTAGATGTCATGTGAGTCATATAACTATATGTAAAATACTTAAAATCCCTTTAAATTAGAAGCACTTAATACAATATTATCAAAATATATAAAAGTATACAATATTATCAAAAGCTCTCACTTTCAGCTATTTCAAATGGCATATTACTAAATTTCTTACCTTTTCTCCAACACCACCAACTGAACCAACAGATCCTGGGGGTCCTTGTGGTCCCTTTAGTGTAGAAAATGTAATACTTTTAGTTATCCTTATTCTTGTGTTGAAAGATAAGTTCATAAATATATATCTAGTTTTTATCAGAGACAGAAACATATGCTAGAATTTTGTTGTCAAATGTACTGACAACAAATAATTTAATTTAGCACATTGACTTTCAAATTCTCCAGAATTTCTAATGTAGAGCAGTAGTCTTTGCAGGTCTGATCATTCCAGCTGACACTTGGAACATAATTTTGATCTCTCTACCCTGGAAGTCAGGTAAATTTTACAGGATGATTTTGTAGTGGGTTAAAACTATGACTCTAGTTAAATAATAATCCATATGAAAAATACCCCCTTTATAAATAATAATCCATATGAAAAATACCCCCTTTATAAATGATTAATTTTGAAATTACTTAGGGGGAATTGAAAACCAACCGCTCTTTTAGATCAATTACTTCTGGTATACTTTACTCAGTTCTGTCCTGCTAGCATTAAAAGCAGGCCTGGAAAAGCAAAGAAAACCAGCCAGAAGACTGAGCAAAGCACAGACATCTTCATTGTCAAAACACAAAATAAGGAGATCTCCAAAACATGATAACAATAAGATACATATGACTTGACATTTCCAAATCCTATAACACTGTACCAATGTCAGTTTCAGGAATGTCTTTTTTTATACAATTGAGAGGAAACATTTTAGACACTAAGAGGTGCACTTATGCACATACTACTCTAACACATTTTATAGACCAAGAATACAAAATGCAAAGCCTTTAAATAAAAGACTTTGGGCACATGTGTAAAGGTACAGACATACACTAGTGCAAAGGCAACTACAAACCATCCCCTTATGCCATTGTTAAAGATAAAGCTTATGTTTGAAAGATTCAGCAACTACTTATTGAACAGTAATCATATGCAAGGCGTAGTTAAAGTATTTTGACCTGAACAATGTGGTTCACTGTAATAGAAATAACATAAGTAGTATTTGCCACTAACCAATGAACATATCTTGAATGTGAACTGTGTGTCTATTTTATATTTGTTCCCTGGAAAGCCTGTTTCTCTCCCTGAATAATGAAGTGGAGTGAGTAGATGATCCTTGAGTTTTCATCCACTTCTAACATTGAACAGTGGCATGATTATCTCCATTGTATCTCAGAAAACATCTGCCACGAAATAATACCAACACTTAAGTAACTTCAAAATGATCAGCATATATTTGACAGTTCTTACATCAGCTCCATTAGGACCTTGAGGGCCTCTTGGGCCAGGAGGACCAGGTGGACCCTGTAAAAGATGAATAATAAAATTTATAAGAATCAAACTCAAATGCATCTTTAACATTTTTATTTTGTGAGTAAGAAAATTAAAAGAAATTTGAAGCATATGAAATCATAGTCAGTTGGGCATATCAGGGTTTTAAGGTGCCTGACAGATACAAATAATCCTTCACACATATCTGTGAAGAAATCAGTCCTTCGCTAAAAAATCAATTTGATTAGAAAATAGGACAAGAAAGCCTGTTGCTACCATCTAATATGATGTATTCATAATATAACTGGTAATATTTTATGTAACAATATACTAGAATATAAGGGGACCATGAGGTTAAGAGAAAAAAGGCACTTGGCTACATTTAGAATTCTTTAATTCAATAAAAGCACTTTGATTTTTTTATTAATTTGTATTTGGATCATGTGTGTGTGTGTGTGTGACATGGATATAACAATTACTCTTTAGTTGTAGTCCCCAAAGTTTCTTTTTCCGGCTGTGCATTAAAATTACCTAAGGTATTTTTTATTAGATATCGAAATACTGATAGCCAAAACCCTATCTCAAGGTTTAATTAAAACAGTCTGTAGTGAATACCAGGACACTGGTATTTTTTTAAAGGTCTCAGTTTATTCTAATGCCATGGTTGAAAAGTTTCTCTAGTATTCTCTATTACCATAAGGTCAGAGAGAACATATCAATGATTCATGGAACCATAGCAACCATATCTAAAGAGTAGTTTGCTACATATTGGATGCTGCTTGGAAGTCTTATTAACCAGCTATTTGAATCAACAATGATTATTCCACATTTCTTCTACTTAATCTGGTTGTGGTCCTTAAAGTGAATAAAATCTAACATACAGGTATGAAATTATCAAAATTGTTTTCTCAAGAAAGTAAAAATTGAGGGCAATGTTGAAAGGAAAGAGCAATTATGAAATGTATTTATAACATTTCATATTAGATTTCAATTACTTTGGCAAATTATTTTCTTATCAAAATTAGTGCTTAATAAACAAATATATGCATTTCAAATTTTAGTTTAAGGTTTTAGGGCAGAAAGTCAGAATTAATAAATGCAGATAGTTATAAGTCATATCATGCAAAATTACGACTGAATTCTTTATTAAACTTATAATTTGTTTCAAAGTATTACAAGAAAATCTCATTATCCATCAACAATTGCTAATTACACAAATCTGGTGTGATTATTATTTATTTTATGCTGCTCCACATCAAAGTCCAAAGTGAAAGCCTAAGAAGCAACTAAAATATGGCCTCTCTATAATAGACATAAAGGTAAGAAAGTAACAACACATGAAGGCCAAACATGCATAGAGCATTATTCTGAGGTGAGAAATAAAGAAAAGGAGATACAGCTGAAATAATGATACCAATATTTAATAGCTGCAGATGGAGACAGAATAGGAAAAAGGTGAGGGGTAAAACAGAAAGCACCATTGTCTTTAGGACTACTTTGTGCAGATCAATAAATTCTAATGAAGAAATTAGTAGTACACTAATCTTTCTTCTATTTCAATGGAATTGCCCCCTTCAAGTTTTCTTTTCCTCCCTGTCTTCCCCACCACTACCACTTACTTTGGACTAGCTTTCACAAATCAAAGAAAACATTAGACCTTTGATTTATCAGTCTGACTCATTTTCCTTGGCATGATATTCTCCAGTTCCACCCATTTACCAGTTCCACCTATTCTTCTTCATGGCTGAGTAAGACTCCACTGTGTATATATACACACCGTTTTCTTTGTTGATTCATGTGTTGAGAGATACTTTGGTTTCACAGCTTGTCTATTGTGAACTGTGCTGTTATAAACACTGAAGTGGCTGCATCCCTATAGTATACAGGACTGAAGAAAAAGGATAAGGGAGAGGGGATAGGATAAGGAAAGAACAGAGGAATGAATCTGACCTCAGTTTCCTATGTACATATATGAATATCACTGTCATGTACATACCCATGGTACTAACAACAACAACAAAACCCTGAAAGTAAAAGTAAACAGCAGAAAGAACAGTAGACAGAAGCAAACAGGGCAAGGGAAGGGGGGAAGGAGATGGGAAATACTGGGGACTGAAATAGAGCATAATATAGTATATTCCAGGCTTTTATCATTATGTCCAAATGAATCATAACATTATGTATAAGTAAAAAGAACCAAAAATTTTTTTAAAAAGAAAATAACAGTGTGGAGATTCACAATAATCATCAAAAAGTAGAAAATACAAACTCACCATGGGGCCAACATCTCCATTTTCACCTTTTTCACCAGGTGGACCTGGTAGACCCTAGAAAAACGTAGTATAAAAATAAAAATCACTCAATATATCTTGTCAAAAGTCACGAATTAAGTATAAAGTAAGATAAATACATGGAGATTAAAATGCAGAAGCTAACATTTGTTAAAATACTTATAATGGAAGTTTCGCTCTCATGTGATAAAATATTATACCTACATTTACAGATAAAATCTGTGCTTTGTACAATATTATACTGTTGAATTTTCTTTACTATAACTAAGTACATCATATAATTTTGGAATTTATGAACACCTACCCATTTATTCTACCTTTTTAATGAACTGGATATAATAACATTGCCATGGTACAGATCTTCTGAAAAATCTTATCCCAGATTATTTCAGAATATCTCATCTAGGGAAGGTTTTTATAGATAAGCATCACTTTGAAAAACTCTTTTGTAAAATTGATATTTCAATATATCTCCAATATTATACATATCTTCTGAAGTTTGGGCCTATTAATTCATCTCTGAATCTTAAAAAAATCATATGACCATGAAAATTATAAATTTATACATTGTTTCCCACTGTATCCATTTGCTTTAGGAGAAATTCTGTGTTACAATATAAACCTAGAACAGGCGGGATTCAAATTTTACTTGACCATCTTTATGGGAAAATTATTTTACTTTTTCCATATCACTTACTCAATTAGCAGAAGTGTTTATATTTTCTCTCTCTTATCACAACAGTACTTGTGTGTACTTGAATTGTATACCTAATACATGACTGTGTGACTTCTCTACATACTTATAATCTTGGCCTACTTTTGGACAGTGCCAATTGTTTTCTCCCTTAGAACTGGCAGAGGCCAAACAAAAAAGAAACAAACAAAAACTAAGATCTCAATAAAATACTGTTGAATAAGTGGTGAATGAATGAATCCTAAGAAAGCAAGCAAATCAAAAGAAACAAGCCAAAAAAAAAAAAAAAACAAGTTTCTTGTAATACTGACTGTGATATTGAAAATTCTCTATTATTTCAAATGTTTAATCTCAGGAAAAATAGCTACATAAAAATAGCTACCTAAACAAACTTATAGAATAGTATACTACTGTTAATTTGATACTAATATTCTAAACATGAATACTATATATTATAATAAAGCCAAATATCAATGAAGATACATGGTATAAATTTAACTGTAGAATATGTATGTGAAATAGGTATAATAGTTGTTGGCCAGAAATACAGGGTAAGTTTTAAATTGTAAGATTATAAATTATTTTCTTTTTTAAACTTTTTGGTGATATAGTCATTTGTATACAACATTTGCATTTCATACATAGATTTGTTTGTTGTTTGTTTTGCTTTTAGTGCTGGTGATCAATCTCAGGGCTTCACACATGGTAGGCAATCATGCTACCACTGACCTCTTCCTCTAGCATCCACAAAATTTATGTTTAATGTTTGTACTATGGTATTTCAAATGTATTCTAACTAACAAAAAATATAAACAATGCTAACGATCTAAATAAATGCTGGTATTTTAATAAAATGATTGATTTTGGTGTGGCACTGTAATGGTTACAAATTATTTGACCCTGACCCACAATAATATTTACTTATAATCCTCACACATGCAAGCATGTGCAAAATAGCTGAACCATGAATTTCAAAAAGCAATGTTCACCATTTTGATAGATAATGACCTTTGAAATTTTCATTCTATTTTACCATATCCTGTTCTATCTCATTTTTTAAATGCAGATAATAACCCTGAAATTGTTTTTATGACCTGCTAATTCCACATAACCCACAGGAAAGAGTACATTACTGAATATATCTGTAAACTTTTAAAATGTGGTATATATTCATTTTATGTGTAAAACTTAATTACTGACTTATAATGGCCAGTCATATATATATACTGATTTAATTTGTTTCCCTCAAATGTTAGTAAGATATCTAAGAGACTGCTATATGTGCTTCCTAACCTGTTACCATGCTCTGAAGGCAGTGTTTTGAATTAATATTTAAGTTTTTTACAAAGAAGTAACCAGGTATTGTTTCTTAGATAGTACTCTATGCAGAATTACCAGGGGCAGATTACTAAAATGTTAGATTCAACCATGGTTGAATCTAAGGTTGTCAACTTCAGACACTCCATTTCATTTATGCAGTACAAGAACTTAAATACTTAAACGTGCAAGTAAAGTTTAACACAGATGAAACAAATATTTCACTTTAAGACAATTTTCTTAAGAAATATGTACTGCAACATAAATGTAAAAACATTACAAAAATTAAGGCACATTCTTTATCTTTAGTCCAAGTTTATACATAATTTTAATATATAGTGCATTTGGTTGAGAATCCCCATATTAAATGTTATTAAATGTTACATAAATATGTTAGTAGTTTTTTGTCTCTTGCAAGTACATTTTATATTGTCATCTTATTTTAGGCATATGATCAGTTCAACAGAAACCTCCAAATTAAAAAAAATCAAAATATTTTAAATTAAGTTGTATTGTAATTTGAGTTAATATGTAATATTTTTATTGTTGAAATTAATAGAGATATAATAAGCGAAATTCTCTTTCTGCAAGTAACTAAATGTGCTTAATGGTATTCTAGTGATAATCAGTTTTCATATGTCCTAACTTTCTCCTAGGGAGTGATTTATGCATGGAGAGGTTCTATTGTAGGGTTTGTGAATTTAAAATCATCTGCCACTTCAGTGAAACACCAAAAATGAATTTAGGTCAAAAACTCTCTCTCTGAAACACACACACATACACACACACACACACACACACACACACACACACACACAGGCACACAAGAAAAAAAAAAACACTCACTCTCTTTCTCTTCATAGGCAGATAAATAGTAAATATCAAATTAAATAATTTTATTCAAATACTAGATTATTATTATTTATGTCTATTGTGATTGCTCCTATCTCTATGAAGAATCAATTAAAGGATAGATGTAATTGTGTACATATTAACTAAATTAGCATATTTTCAATATCCCTATTTAAAGGTGTAGTTATGAGACAATATGAACAATTTTTTAATAAATTGATATCTTGAGTCATCCTCACCAAGGAACACTTTTCTCTTATTTTGTGAAAAAGGTGATAATTTCTATTGCAGCAAATAGTGGCAATTTTATAAATATAAACCACAAGGCAACTTTTTTTAACCATGAGAGCCAAGTTCCTAAATAACAACCTTACAGAATTCAGAGTAATCACATACATGACAAAAACAGAAATTGAATAGTAACACATCCATTGGTGATCTTGTTTTAATGCTTTCTTGTTTTCAAATATGTGTACTTCTCACACATACTGTAAGTAGTACTCATGACTATTTATTTACAACTATAAAAATGTCAAACACAACAAATATGAAAGTAAAGCTTTGTACTTTTCAAGCATAAAAACATTTTGTCATTAAAATGAAGCAGAAAATTAGAATATCATGTTAACTAGTAAAAAAACCCCCTATTTTAACAATAATAATTACATTAAAATTATTATGTGACAGGATGTAATTTGTACAATTATGTACATAACAAGCTATTTAATACCAAAATCCAATACTTTTATGATTTTATTTAGGAAAATAAAGATGATTAAATATATATAAATTTCACTTGCATATACTTTTCTATGACTTTACAAATTCTTAGGTATGGTGAACCAGATGACTTAATTTACCATTTCTAATATTGCTAATTGAGCACAAGCAATATCCACATTACCTAAATTCCATTTAAAACAACTTTACAATCTTACAAGGAATCATTAGATATGTAGAGAATAGTAAGTATAGAATAAGTAAGGGGAAAAAGACCAGATGGTTGCAAAGTTTATAGGAATCAGAGAACATCAGGTGGAAAGCGAATCATACTCAGAATAGAGATGGCCAAGAGTCCAGTTGTAAGATCTATACTATAGAAATAAAAATTTCTCATCTACAGTGTCTTGCAATATAAAATTTCCTTCCCAGATATGGTTTATAAAACACAAATTATAATTTTAAAACATGAAGCCATTTTAATTGGTTTACTATTAATCTACTTTACCTATTATTGTTTATCTTACTATTTGTTGGCAGTGTGCTATTTCTCTTAATGCTTTTGAATGTTTGTTGTTACCCGAATTATTAAAATTTCTGCTATAAGACCCAGGAAACAACCATTCTAATGTCTTACCTTTAATTATCAGACTTATACATATGAAGTTCATTTTTTAAAAAAAATACAGGAATGAAGAAAGGGGGTTATAAGATCTGGGGTATTTAGCCTAAGGGCTAAATGTACTGCAAAAACAGGAATCAGGCTCATACATGTTCAGAAAAATTAAGAATACTTGGTAAAAGGCAGTTGAAGTTCAGATATATATAAGAGTAAAATAATCATTATAGTTAAATATTGTTCTTACATAGAAACAAGGAAAGATGCTTTTCTTGCCTCCATTAGGTGAACCTGACATAAGAACCAGGTGGAAATGATGGAATGAACAATCAGAGAACCACTTACCTGAAGACCTATGGGACCAGGCGGTCCAGGGAAACCTCTTGCACCCTCATCACCTTTCTGCCCAAACATCCCCTGCTGTCCTCTGGGACCTGGTTCTCCATCCCCTCCCTAGGGAGCAGCAAGGAAAATGATCATGAAGTGGAAAACCATTATGATACGAGTCATAAACTGTCTCCATTGCAATTTGTTCAAAGTGGATATATTTGAGAATAACCAAGTAAAATGTAAACTAGATTCCCACTATTTGCTACAAACGTGTCATTGTTCATGTTGTTAATATTTCATGTTTCTGGAGTACTGCTGATTGAGTTGATCATATATACAAATGAAGCAAAGGCTTTTTAACAGCGAAAAATGTTTTACACATTAAGTTATTTTCAACCAGTTACAGTCTAGGTCCAAAGGAAGTCACGTTATCTTGTTCTAAGGATAAGCTTGGTTAGCTATGCAATATAATTTAAACATGACCAATATCAAACATACAAATAGAACTTATTACCATACAAAAATTAACTGTGAGTCAGTGTCAAACATACGAATAAAACATTACCACACAAAAAAGTCATTGGGTTATGTGACATTTCATAAATTTCATGAAGGAGATCTTGGTTGAACAAAATGGAATACTTACAGCAATTCCTGGGGCACCAACTGGTCCTTGAAGACCTGGAGGACCGGGAGGACCCTGAGAGAGATAAAGACCAGTAAATTTACAACTGAAGCCAGAAAATCCTATATAAAGCAAAACCTTTGCAATATAAAAGCAAAACCTTTGACTGATCAAGGTCTATTAAACCTCTCTACACCCTTTGAACAAACAGCTACATTACTCAGAAAATTTTCACTCTTAGAACTGTCAACTGCTGCTTATTTTACTCCTTGGAGATCCATAATTTCATATTTGGAATCAATTTTAAATTGACACTTATTGAACACCTTCTCATCTATATGTGGTAGATATGTAAAAAATAGATTTGTACACTAATTTTTGTACAAAAATTTGTACAAAAAATTTGTACAAAAATTTTAATGTGAACCTTCGACTTGATGTATATTAATCAAGTCGAAGGTTCACATTAAAATTTTTTCACAATACCAGATTTCTTTAGTGAAAACGTATGGGTCAGGAATAGCACAAGAAAAAATTTGTCTATGTAATATCTTCTAACAGAACATGAGAATTCTGAAGATGCCCTAGAGATAGTATGTAATTTAGATACATGAAAATTTCAAACCTCTAATATGTGCACACATGCAAACTTGGTGTTATATATCAAGTATATTGGACTCTTTATTTTGAGCAATAGATTCCAAAGGCATTATGAGCTTTACTTGCATAGATACATCCTTGCTATCTTATTTTCTTGCATTAAGACTAGTCAGGCTCTATAAAAGATATGAAAGCAATCAAGAGTCTTTGAATTCTATTTTATTCTATGGTTACCACCTTTGGGGACAATTGCTTACAGCAAAGATTCCAAAAATGTTGTCTACAAACCACTGAGGGTATTTGAGACCATTTGAGTTTTCTTCCAGTTCAAAATTCTTCATATAAAAACACTACGATGTTATCTTTTATACAATCTAGGCATTTGCAGTAATGATGCACTAATGATGACAAAATTGCTGATGACTTTAACAATCATCATGTCAATAGCTACAAATTATAAAAGCAATAACTATATTTTCATAGTCCTGAACTCTGTCATCATAAAATGATGTTTATGTTCTTGATGAAGCATGAATCATCCTTCATTTTATTAAATATTGACTTTCTTTTGTCAGGAATAGCACATAAAAAATAGCACATGTCCTTTGATATTCATAGGACAAAACTGAAGGAAAAAGTTCTTTTGTTATATATTGAAGTACAACGCCTCTTTCAAAAAGGCACTTGGACTGTAGTTTGGTTTGATGTTGAGGCAGCACTTTTTATATGGAATTCTATTTTTACTTAAAAAACAAGACAGACAGTAAGACTGTAATTATTTAACTTGAGAATTTGGCAGAGATGTGATGAAAGTAAAGGAAGTTTGTGAATTTAAAAAAAACTGACAGTATTTATAAAGGCATCAAAGATAACATTGAAATTTTCAAGCAAAATTAGAATTCTGAAATCTTATATCTGCCATTGCAGGCCTCACTGCTGCCCAATCTGAAATCATTTTCTTATGTTATTAATATTGTATAAAGTAATGTGTTAATACTTTGAAGATCTTACTTAGTCAACCAATAATTTTCAAATGATCATTGAAGGATGATATAAAATTATATATGAGGAAAAGAGTCATTCAAAGTGCAAGGTAGACCAATAAATATGTAATAGCACAAGGAGCTCACTGCTTTGATAGCAGATTCCATACCACAATTGACCTTAAGAAAAGTTATGATTTATCAAATGTTGAGGTAGAATCAAAAATACCCCAAATCATCTGAAAAAAGATTTTAAAACACTCTTGCCTTTCCAACTTCATATATATGTGAGCCTGGAGTTCAGCCAAAACAACGTATCATTACAGACTGCAGTGAGAAGCACATTTGAGGATATAGCTTCTTCTATTAATCTAGACCCCCAAAATATGAGGTATAGCTTTGTACTATATACTATATATATTTTTTTTTGGGGGGAAATATAGATATATTTCATTAAAACTGCCTGGGGATTATCATTCTAAATTTTAATGAATCAATTTGTAAGTATTTAAAATTTCTCAGTTTAATTCATAGTATAATAATCCACCTGGAGCACAGCTTTTGGCATTCTTAAAAAGTGTTTAAATCTACAAGGGTCCTGAGACAAAAATATTTCAGAACTGCTGGCTTATAGTCATCCAGTCATATTTAATTATAGCTTTAAGGAGGAAATAAAACCTTTCAAACATGGCTTCTGGAAATCACATAAGGTTTTCTAATTAGACAAAATGTATTTACGTATCTTTAAGAAATCTAAACAAAACCTAAGAAAAGGTAATTTACTAAAATAGAACTTTTAATTTATATCCAATAGCAACTGCATCACACTTAGGCATATGGTTTCCATATATAATTTCCTATGATACTTGTACATATCAATGTTGCCCATCACTCACTAAGGTTGTGTTCTCCTGATATAGAAATACATGAAGGACTCACGATGGGTTAAATATTGCATTATCTGAAAGCTGTTTTTGTTTTGATACAAATTATTCTCTTTAGTTAGGACCATTCATCACACTGGATTTTGGTGACTATTCAGTTTAAGAATCAATTCTAAAAAGAAAAAAAAAAAAACTTTGTTCAAAGTTATGTTTTAAGGTATGCAATAATTGAAACATGAAAAGCATCAGAATGATAACTGGGTCACAGGACAGAGTCGTGGCTTATTAGAATATAATTTCTAGAATGTTATGTAAACTTCTATACTAGTTGAAAAAATAACAAATGTAGAACATTACTCTGCACTTCCCCAACTTGCCTTCTTATTGCAGAATATGAAACACTTAAAGAAAGAAAAAGAGGAAAATAAGAACTAAATGTCTGTAGATGCTCTTCAAGGGGCATAAATTAATGAATAAATGCAGAGGGAAAGTACATGAGACATTATCACTTACCTTACTTAATCTAAAAGAAGGGAAATTTAACAAAAATATAATTTGAATAGGATTTAAACTGGTAAACAGTGAATAAAAAAAGGCCGAGAGGCAAGAATGAACACACCATTTGGCTACACAACAGAAATTCTTTCACCAGCTTCATGATTTGTTCAGAAACATATTCCAAAATAAGTACTTAGAATATATGGAAACAGATTTATCAATTTATATACAGGTAAAGACCACAGGAATGGTATTTAATTTGGCATATGTTTGCATAGTATTTCCCACACGGAAAAGCAGGCTGGCTATTGCATTACAGTACTCTTTCATTGCTAGAGTGGAATTTAAAAAATAACCTACAACTATCATACTGGACTTAATGACATAAGTAGAAGACCTCACAGAATTGTACAGCATTATGGAATGATATAACACAAAGGTAATAAAGTATTGATATTATAACATTTGGCTAGGTAAGCAAATAGTATTATGGGAAACTATCCATGGTAAACAGTAAAAGCTGTTAAATGAACGCTGGAAATAAGCAGCTGGAAACTCACGTTTTCTCCTTTGTCCCCCTTGCTGCCTTTTTGTCCTGGTTCACCAATTTCACCCTGTATTTGAGAGAGTTAAGTGAAAGTTTATTTGTAACATTGTACCTTGCATTGCATTGTTATCATTATCATTGAATTATTACATTTTATCTTTAACACAATTCCATGTTAGCATTTAACATCAATATTTAAGATGTATGATCCTGGGATCTCTGTGTCTAGCTTTGTAGTTTTGACTAACATATAGACAAAAAGTCAGATTAACATGGAGAAATACTGCAACTGGATTTAAAATTTAAAAAACTGATTTTGTCTCAAATATCCCACTGTAAAATGATAATGGAAACACATTGGTGCAGAGACAAATAACCATACATTAATCAAAAATTGCTTTTCTCCTAGTTTTTCAAATAGTAAGATAATGCACATACTCAAAGTAGTGCTATTTCACAAATTTTCTATAGCATTTTAGAATAATATTAGAAAATCTATTAAATTCAAACACAACTTTGCATTTGGAATAAAAAGCTTAAAGTCTTTTCTTATATATTAGTAAGAGAGCCTATACTTGTCAATTTAGTATATAACTCATTCTTAAGTCTTATCATATAATATCTAAGATGAAAGTGCTAAATATATGCAGGTAATTATTTTTATTTTACATTCATTTCAGAAACATTTTTTAAAATAAATAGTAGTTGGCATCTACTATTTTTTTCTTACTGCCACTTTTCTCTTATTTCATTTTCCTATTTGTATCCCACATACTGTTTTATGGAAGATATACTAGCTTTCCACCTCTAAAATAAAACTTTCCCACATGTGGAAGGTATGGTAAAGTTTGATAAAGGTTACCTTCCACCTGTCATCCAATCTTAGACTAATTATAAAATATTTGAGAAAAAAATTAAACTTTCAAACACGTTCTGCAAAATATTGGACACTGACCTTGTCTCCATCTTCACCAGGGGAGCCAGCAGGACCAGCAGGTCCTGGGAGACCCACGGGGCCCTGTACTCCATCTCTCCCTGCAGGGCCTTGGGGACCTTTTTCTCCCTATATTGAAAATCAAACAGATCATTAATTTGTTGTAACAAACCTAACAACTAGCTGTGTGCTACAATTTTTAAGTGCAGCTACAATTTTTATATATATACTCTAGATATAACCTAGTTCCTATACTTGACAAGGAAATTGTTTAATGTTTCTAAGGAAAAAAAATTTCAAGCAGCAAATGATAACATACATAAAAGATCCCTATATCGTTTTATGACTCAGTCTTTTAAATTATTTATGAATCTCAGCGTTGGTCCACAGAAGTAATTATGATTCAACTGAGAAATTTTTCTCTCAGACACATAGTTTCTAAGTAAGTACTGGCAAGTCGGATCTGATGCCTGATGTTTGTGAAAACTTGCTGAACCTCAACTCCTCCTTAGTGTCACTGAAGTAGCTATACGGAAGATATAAGGCTTTAAAAAAAAATCATAAAATCCACTTCCTTCTATGTCCAACTTCACAATAGGCTTTAGATGTAACTCTTTCCTATTTTAACACATCTGTCATGGGTTTTCTGGATTTTGGTATTTTAATTCATTGCTGCTTTTCCTGATTCAAAATGACAAGGGAGCTAGTTTTTCCTATTTTTATTTTTGTTTGTTTTTGACAGGGACATTCTTTTCCTATTTTTACATTTACCTACATTGTGTAATTAAAAAAAAAAAAAGTCTTGATAATGAAAACTACCTCTGCTTTCCAGAAAACACCCTTTCAGAGTTTAAACTATTTTACTTCCTAAAAGTCAAACTTTCATAGGTTTTGCATAACACTGTATTCTCAATTGCTCAATTGTATTCAGTGATCCCCTTTTCTCTTTTTATACCAGCTGGCCATCTACAGGTTATTAGGTCCAGTGTTCACATTGCCCACCTCTCCAAACTTCCCCAACATCTATCTCTTGCCCTTTATACTGACTTTTATCTGCTTTGTCTCCCAGTTAGTCCCACTCAATGTTGGGGATCAAACTTGGTGCCTTGCATGTTAGCAAACACTATACCACTGAGCTATAACACCAGCCCTCCTAGTCATTTATTCTCCATTTTATCTCTGTCACTGACTCTTGAATTCTAAGTACCAGTGTCCTTGGTCTAAATTACTGAAATAACTCACTGCTTTCTCCTACATTCATTTTTACTTCCTTTCAAACCATGCTCTACATTGTAACCAGAGAACGAATCAGATCATATTACATAATTTCTTAGATCAGTTACTTGTTGCTGTTCCTAAGAGAAAGAACCAGCTTACTGGTGGCTTCTACTTCTGATGCAACCATATCTAATTAATTAATTAATGACAACTAAAATAAAATAACTATTAAACAAAGGCAACTTGTTGATACTTTTAAAATATGTTCTTGTTTTCAAAATGTATGGCAAACTTATTATAGAACATACTTCTCACATCACTCTGAAGACTTTTTTAAAAAAAAATCCCTCAATACAATATTATATTTCAAACCTATCTATACTCATAAAATGTGCTGTGTTGCTTTTACTAAACTTCATTACTTCAAACTCAAAAGCCA